TGGGTAGAGGCTCAGTCAGTTAAGTGTCTGCCTTCAGCTAGGTCATGATCCCAGGGTCTGGGATTGAGTCCCGCATCCGGCTCCCTGCTCAGCCGGGAGCCTGCTTCTACCCCTCCCCCTGCTACTCTCTCTTTCCCACTCTCCTCTGCCAAATAAAATAAATAAATAAATAGATAAATAAATAAATAAAATAAAATGAAGTCCTCTAGAGAACAAGTGGTGTGACAGTCCTCTGGCTAGTCAGAACATCAAACCAAGGTCAGAGCTTATGTGGGACAACGTGCCAACATAAACAGCATCTGGCAGACCTTTTTACTATTCCCTCTGTGACCTCTTGGGACAGTCATGATCCCAAGATTTATCTATCTCAAAGGGAATTCTTAGGTGGGCAGGTGGGGTCAAGGCTAAGTCCAGAGTATCGCACACAAATATGCGGAAGCAAGGGTTATACACAGGGCAACACTGATGTGCCGACACCAGCCCACAGGTGCTCCCAGACAGGTGCTGGTCAAGACCCTGAGACAAAGGAGAAAGAGAAAAGTGTCCACAGAGACTGCAAGATGAAGTGAGAACGGAGACTCCTTATCAGACTGGACATGGGACACAGGCTGAGCCACAAGGGTCAATGATCACATTTGATCCAATATTGGAGCAGGGAGGGCATTGTCAGTGTTCCTATGGTTGAAAACCCTCCCCCCAAATTGAGAAGGTGGAGAGGTAGAGTTCTGATACAATGGTCAAGCTTATTGTCCAGAATGGCACCTTGTCACTTCTTTCCTCAAAATCTCTAATGTCCGCTGGTTACCTATAGAATGAAATCCTGATTACTTGGGTTGGTTTGGGGGCCTCATTTAACCATGTCTCCCTGACCTCACCCCTCTCTACAACCCTGAGAATCACTGACATTCTGGCCACCCTGTTTGCTTGTGTTGTTCTCACAGCCTGGTGAGTCTTTCTATTTCTTCTCCGTCTTGAGAAAAATCTTATCTCTTAGAAAAGAGCCAACTCCAATATTGTCTCATCAATGATTCTTTGCTCTGAGCCTCCTGGTCAGAATCATGGCTTCCCTACTGGGCTGTTGCTTTCCAGCCAGGGGAGGCCTGGCTTCCCAGCCTTGACCACCCTTCTCTCATCCTTACTCATATGACTTGCCTCTACTCAATCTCAACCGTGATCCCGACCAGGATTAGGGGAGATTTAAAGAATTCCAGCTGGTCCCTTCAACGTGGAATATCTAAGACTGATATTGACTCTGGGCCCCAATTCCATTAATTGGCTTTATGTTTGGGTCCTAACACATACTCTCAAATTTATAGCCCAGTTTTGGTGATTGTTCTCTGTGCCTCAGAACTTGTTTACCTGACTAGACTGCAAGATAACAGTGTCTATAATGTGGGCAGTCTCAAGAGTCTCATCAGAGAGCAAGTGGCTGTCCCCTTCCAATGTTGATGTCTTGCCCCGACCCTAAGCCTAACAAGGTCATTCTTGTGAGTGGTGACAGATATGCTAGTGCCCTCATAACTCTGCTTCTCCGCTAGCATCTCTGATTATTGGTTGTGCTGGATTCCCCTACTTCTGCTCTGTCATAAGGGAAGACCGCAGTGTTACTGGGGGTTGGACCTCGCTGTGGTGAGATATTCTATCTCGATTTCTACCTATAGTTGATGGCTGTGCTTCCCATACTCCACATTCTGCTTGCCCAACTGGACTTCCCCTTCCCCCTGAAGCTCAATCTGTCCTTTCAGTGTGACTCTATCCCGGTAGCCATGTCTACTTTCAAGTTCCAGCTATTCCCTCTCTGCCCAGTTCAGCCATGGTTGCTCATGTCCTGAAGGACAAAACAACTATATAGCATCTGTTCGGTTCTAGCTTGTGTTTTGTGATTTGTGAATGTGTTTTAATCTGCTCTTTGATGTCACTCAGCTTTATATGCTGCACGGAACCCCGTGTGGAACTGGGAGTCTGGAGGTATTCCATGTATGACATTAGGTGATTTAGGAATCCCATGGCAGCATCCTCCTAGACATTAGCTCTGGCTTCTGTTCAAGTGGCATCCGAGTTGAGTCCCTGGCATGCTGTAATCCTTCAGGGAAGCAGGACATATTTATGGGACTCTGCAGTCTTGCTTGTCTATAGCTCATCAGCCATATTTGTTTTCCCCAAGAATAGAGTTTGATTATGTCAGTCCCTTGGCATGTAGACGTGACATCCTATAACCCAGAGAACAAAGTTCCAAATTCTTGGGGTAACCTGCATATCCCTTCAGAGGATGCCCCAATTTGCTTGTGCAAGATATTTCTGATGATTCCTCTATTAGTCCCTAGTAACAGAGATGAACCGAGTAACTGGATCGTCCACTCACACACTTCAGTTTCCCACTTTTGTGCCTCTGTGTCTATTGTTGTAGCTCCTCACTCTTCACCAAGAAAATCCCACTCATCCTTCAAGGTCCATTGCAAACGCTCTGAAGATTTTCCTAATCTCTGCAACTAGAGATGATCTCATTCTCCATTAAACTTGATAATTTTCTCATTGGATTTTTTTTTTTTTTGCATTCTGTCTTGAATTTCAGTTATTTGTGTGCTTTGTGTATTTTGTTTGTATTATGTATGTGTTATTTAAAATTTTTTTTTATTATTCACTTGACAGAGATCACAAGTAGGCAGAGAGGGAGACAGAGAGAGAGGGGGGAAGCAGGCTCCCCCCTGAGCAGAGAGCCCGACGTGGGGCTTGATCCCAGGACCCTGAGATCATGACCTGAGCTGAAGGCAGAGGCTTCAACCCACTGAGCCACCCAGGTGCCCCTATATGTGTTATTTTAGATGAAGAGTTCCCTGAAGGTCAGGATGGTCATTAACTCTGTTCTTAACTCTTATCCTTGGCACCTATGATGGACATTCAATAATTATTTACTATTTTTATTTATTTATTTATTTATTTAACTATTTTTATTTTTATAAAGCCACAAAATATGGCCAGTTTCTCAGGGTAGTGTCCCTGTGGAGAGTTTTGCTGTCTAGTTCAAACCTGCATACTGAATTTTAAAATAGTGATATTTTAAATTTATCCTGCATTATAAGGCTTGAGATGAGGAATTACAATAAAATTTGAAAACTTGTTATTTTTGCCTAAATCTTTGCATCAAACACATCACCTTATTTATTCTAAACCTTCTCTGAGTCTGTAAAAGAGAGGATGACTTAGAAAATATTTGAATACTCATAGAAAAATCTTGTCTTTCTATTGGAAATATTTGCATCCTATTATAACTTTATAGTGTTTTCCTGTGAGTTTTAAAAGTAACTTTTAAAGTAACTTTCACATGATGCTTCTTAGTTTTAATGGAAATGTTATTAAATTGTAGTAACTAATCCATGATAATGAATTCTTTTGGGATTATAGCATACATCCTTAACTGTTCCATTGTAATTTGAATAAACATATCACTTTTCATATGGTGTAACAATCTCCCAAAAGTGTAATTGCATTAACACTTTTTTCACCTTTTGTATTGTTTTAATATTTTCAACTTCTCAATATGAAATAAATCACAATACAGTATTGTCACTTATTTTTTTTCCCAGTTTGAAACCATACTTTATTTTTAATGTAGCGAGAAATCCAATAACTATATATTTTTAAGCAAAAAAAAAAAAAAAACCTCCTTTACATTTCCTTCTTATACCATTGTTAGCGCAAGAAAAAACACTTCTGGTCTAGAAATGATACTGAGTTTCTATGAAAATGAATGTACTTTGTATTTGTGGAACTTAAGAGCACAGGACACATTTTCAGAAGACCAATTTTACTTTTACCCACTTACGGTAATATCTGCAATGTTAGAATGTACTTAAGTAATATATAATTAAGTAACAAGTAAATCAAATAAGGAACCCAAAAGGAACTGGTCTTCTTAGGTTATTCACAAGACACATTAGAAAATTCGAGATAGAACACACATTACCAACAAAAAAACCACTGACAAGCTCAAACTCACGTTTATATGCTGAGTATTTTTAAAGGATTTAAAAAGCATGCTCAGTTAGCATACAGCCTTTTCTCACTTATATAACAGATGCATTTCTATTTGCTTGTGTACAGCAAAGGGTTAGAACCTGAATCAACTTACTTATGACTTCAGAAATGTGCTATTTCAGAAATTATTCCATGGAATTTTCTTCACTGCTCCTACCACTGATTCTTCAAATAAGCAAAGTACAGAGGGTCTCATCCCTTGAAAACTGTTTTTGAACACCAGCACTTTAAATTGGAAAGGTAGAAACCTAGCAATTCCTAGTACAGTGCCTAGACTTAGTCTTAATTAATGTTAAGATTTGAATGTACAACAGAAAATCCATCATTTATTTATCCTTGGAGGAGAGGGAAGGAAAAAAGGAGACGTGGGGGATATGGTGCAGTATTCAAGCGCTGAATAAGAACACAATGACTCATAATGCCATTAACCCAACAATGAAGAACCATGGATCTCATCAGTTTTATAATTCATATTGGATCAAGAAATTTGGTTCCCCTCTATGTATATCAATGAATTCAAACCTCATACTCTCCAAACTACGAAGATGAATAATGTCAGATAAACTCCAACTGCAACAGGTATTTCCTCAGAAGACTGAACATCAAAGGGAATCCCTCCTTCCAACATCTTCTGAGATGGTTAAGATCTCACCGAAGCGGAAACCTAACATTTAAATATGCAATCGCTTGGCCAAGTAAGAAACTACAACTGTTATGGGTATTACCTTACATAATCACTATATGTATTACATATTAAACCCAGCATTACATATACTTGCACAACTATGCTGTGAATGATGGTAATAGTGATGACGCCAGTGAAAAAGGACTATCTTTAGCCCAAAGAGTACTGGGAGGGGAGAAGGGGGGACGTGAAAATAAGCAGAAAGCACACAAAGAGATGGGTATTTTCTGACCAGGAAAGGTCACTCTAAACACAGAAATATTAAAAAAAAAAAAAAGTATTCCCTTATTTCCCCTATGTGGAAATAATGCAAAACATTTATTTTCTATATGAGACAAGAACACAGCTAAGTAATCCAAGTCTACTGCAGCATTATAAAAATCATCCCTTCACCACAGTGTAAGATTTAAATGCATCTGCACAAGGGTGCACACTATATAAAAGGAGTAAGGTTGCTGCTGCCCTGCCAAGCACTTCCGGTCCCTACCCAGGTCCGACTGCAATACTGGTGGTCCCAATGGCTCTATCAAAATAAATTGTGTTTAAAAAATAAAGCATTTAAAAAGACAAGTCAAAATGTCTCAGAAACCGTATCTCCAACTCAAACTTCATCTATTTTAATGTATTATTTGCCTCCCACTAATAAACCTTTATTTCACTCATTATAATTGAGCAATGAATCTTCCACACTGAAATATCTTCCTTGCCCAATTAATCCAAAGGAAAAAAAACTGAAATGATTAGTAAAGAAAAATGTAGGGACTAACACACCCTTTTAATATGTTTTTAAATACTTTTAAGGTTTAAAAAGTGTTTAAAGTTTGTAGTTCCTAGTAGGAAAACATTATCTGAATGAATACCCTAATGGCAACAATTGTAGAATGTTTCAGTTGCATGGGGAGCAGAGGGGTAGGGATTCTCTTCACAGCACCCCAGCTTTCTTCATGAGAAGGTCGGAGGTACACTGGTTTGTATTATTGCGACATCCATTAGGTGATCGAAGTTGCTTTTCCTTCAGCAAGGGCTTTACTTGTCATAAGGGCATTATGCTTGACCTCCAAATTTGGCTGATAATTTACGGATGAGATTCATAACCTTTGGGTTGCTCTGATATTTTGACATATTCGCTGGGTTCTGGGCCACATCCTGGAAGGCCACCATAACTTCTGGATCCTGCATGGCTGCAAGAACTTCCGGATCACTAAGAATTTCATTGAGCCCAGGCATTCCTGCCATTCCAGGCATCCCCCCTGCCATTCCAGGCATTCCTCCAGGAAAATTACCAGGCATTCCCCCAGGAAAGCCACCTGGGAAAGAGCCATACTGAGCTCCTGATTGTCTTCTGGCTTCTTCCTCCCTCTGGGCTCTCTCATGTTCTTCCCGAGACTTCTTAACCCTTTCTATTCTTTCTTTGATCTCTCACTCTTCACGTTTTCGCTCATATTTTCTCCGATGTTCAGCAATTTTCTGGGCCCTCGGTTGAACTTCTTTCAGCATTGCACTAGCATCTTCATCATAATCCAGTTTACAAGCAAGGGCAAGATCATGTGCTGCTTCTTCCCAATGGCCCAGAAGTCTATGTGCTTTCCCACGCCACTTATAAGGCTGAGCTGAATCGGGATTTATTTCAATAGCTCTGTCACAGTCTCGAATGGCAGCATTTGGCTTCTGTAATTTGATGAAGACACTGGCTCTCTTGGCATACAGAATGGCCAAGCGAGGATTTAGTTTGATGGCATCTGTGAACAAGTCAATGGCTTTCTGTAGTTCACCATCATTTAGGGCATCAATGGCAGCCACTTTTTTATCATTTGCCTGATCCATCATTTCCTCGGTTATCTCTACATTTTCATCTCCCATTTCTTGAGGGGCATCGGTATCTGGTTCAATCACACCTTCATTGTCAATTTCTAGATCACTCTCCTCACTTGATGGTTCATCTGTCTTTATGTTTTCTTCCGCCTTCTTACTATCCGGTTTTTCTTCCTTGATACTGTCTTCTGATTTAGTTTTATGAGTGGCAGGTGGTATTTTACCCCCCATGCTCTCCACCCACTCCCGCAGGAAACGCATTTCCTCGGTGTGCAGAACGCTCGGATCCTGCTTACACATTTTCACGAAAGCCCGAAGCTCGCTCACTTTGCGGGGGTCCATGGTCCAGAGGCAGTGGCAGGCGGCAGGCTGAGGTTGCGACCGGATTCCAGGCGCGGGTACTAGCTCAGCGTGATCGTGTGGAAGGGCAGTATTGTCACTTTTGTTTTGAACTATGAATTGACATTTAAAGAATGTAAGAAAAGAAGTACAAAAAGTCTATAATTTTATTTTTTTAAAGATGTTATTTATTTGACAGAGAGATCACAAGTAGGCAGAGAGGCCGGTAGAGCGGGGTTGGGGGGGAAGCAGGCTCCCTGCTGAGCGGAGAGCCCGATTCAGGGCTCCATCCTAGGACCCTGGAATCATGAGCTGAGCGGAAGGCAGAAACTTTAACCCACTAAGCCACCCAGGCGTCCCCAATCTATTATTTTTTAAAGATAGTTTCCATTGCCAATGCTTTTCCTTCCTAACAATAGATCCAAACTGTATCACCTGTCGTTTTCCTTCAGCCAGAGGAATGGTTAGGGTCATTTCCTATGCGAGAGGTCTGCTGACAACACATTCTATCAGCTTTTTATTTGAAGGTAAGTTATTTCACCTGCACTTCAGAAGATGTTTTTACCAGACACGGAATGCTTGATTGAGAGGTTTTTTTTCTTTCAACATTTTAAAGATGTGGTTCCATTGTCTTCTGGATTCTACTTTTTCTGATGGAGAAGGAAACCATAAGTATTGTTGTTATCTTTATGGGATGAATTTTTTTAAACCATGGTTGCTTTTTTTTTTTTTTAAGATTTTATTTTATTTATTTGACAGAGAGAGATCACAAGCAAGCAGAGAGGCAGGCAGAGAGAGAGGAGGAAGCAGGCTCCCTGCTGAGCAGAGAGCCCAATACGGGGCTCGATCCCAGGACCCTGAGATCATGACCTGAGACGAAGGCAGCGGCTTAACCCACTGAGCCACCCAGGCGCCCAGTAAACCATGGTTGCTTTTAAGATTTTCTTTCCATCTTTTGTTTTTAGAAGCTTCCTTATGATCTTATCAGATGTGATTTTATTTCTTTTTATCTTGCTTGGCTTTCACTGTGGGTTGCTGATTTCTATCAAATTTAGAAAATTTTTGTCCTTATTTCTTCAAATATAAGTTTCTGCCTGATTCGTTCTCTCCTTTCCTTTTGGAACTCCCATTACATGCATATTAGACTGCTTGATATCATTTGACAGGCAATTCAGGTTCCTTTTATTTTTAAAAAGTCTTTTCTTTTTCTGTGCCTCAGTTTGGGTGACTTCTATCTTCAAAGTCACTAATGCTTTCTCTTGGTATGGCCAAATATCTTTTAATGCCATCCAATGAATGTTTTATTACAAATATTGTACTTTTTAGTTCTAATATTTCCATTTAGTTATTTTCTTTCTCAAATTTTCTACAAATTCTGTATATCTCCTAAAATTCCCTACCTCACCTCTCCTACTAATCTTTTCCTATAGGTGCTTTAAGTATTTTAGTTATTTCAAAATCTCTTTATGCTAATTTGAACATCTACACCGTCTATTAGCCTGTTTCTATTAACTAAAATTTTTCTCTTGATTATGAGCTACAGTTAGTGATTTTTAATTACATAGTTGGTGTTGTGATAGTCCATTATGGACAACCTCAATTGTGTTATTTTTTTCTGAAGAGTGTGTGATTTTTGTTCTAACAAGTAGTTGTATTATTGGAAAATCCCCTTGAGCTGGGAAATCTTGGTTTTAGCCTTTCTTAAGTGTAGGTTTATTTTAGTTTTGTCATTAGTCCCAAGGAAAATTTCTTAGTCTGAGGAAAAAGACTTTTTTTTCAGGGTCTATTTAGTAGCTTAATTGAAGTATAATTTACATGCCAAAAAATCCATCTATTATAAGTGCATAATTCAGTGATTTTTCACCAATTAATAGAGCTGTACGATTACCACAAGCCAATTTTTAAAAATTGTGGTAAAATATATATAACATAAAAGTTGCAATTTTGGCCGTTTTTTAAGTGTACAGTTCAGTGGCATTAAATACATTCACATTCACATTGTTGGGCAATTATTTCTACCATCTATCTCTGGAACCCCTTTATATTTTGCAAAACTGAAATTCTATGCCTGCCAACCAGCAATTCCCCATTCCTCTCTCCTCCCAGGCCCAGAAAACCATCATTTTACTTTTTGTCTCTGTGAATTTGATGACTCTAGGTACTTCATATAAATGGAATCATACAGTATTTGTCCTTTTGTGACTGGCTTATTTCACTTAACATAATGTCCTCAAGGTTCCTCTATGTTGTAGCACATGTCAGAATTTCCTTCCTTTTAAAAGAGAATAATCCATATATATATATATATATATATATATATATATATATACACACACACATATATATATGACATTTTGTTCATCCATATATATATGAATAATTCATATATATGACATTTTGTTTATCCACCATCCAGTTTTAGAACATTTCCATCACTTCAAAAAGCTGTCTTGTGCCTATTTAGTTAATCCCCACCACTATGCTCAGTCCTAGGCAACCACTGATCTGTTTTCTGTCTCTATAAATTTATTTTCTCTATGCAATAAATGAATCATACTGTATGTAGTCCTTTGCATCTGGCTTCTTTCATTTAGCATATTTTGGAGGTTGAGAGTAAGTCTTCACTCCTAATGCATGTCCCTTGTGCAGTTTTAATGGAAGCCTGGGACATTCACTAAATGCTTCTAATTGGGTGGGTCTTGAAGTCTAAACTGTGTTCTCTATGGTGAGTGGCCACTGAAACCAATGCGCAGGTCTTTCAGATTTTCCAGCTATCACTTTCCTTCTGAGTTTCTTAGAATCTTATCCTGCATAAATACAGTTCAGAGGTTAACCAAGAATTTGAGGGAAGTTAATACACAGATTTTGGGGCTTCTATTACTCTGATTCCCTCCTTTTTGAGATTTGTTCTCTCAATTTCCAGCTACTGTGGTAGTCCAGGCTACTTAGTCAGGCTACTAAGATTAGGGATTTCTATTGGAGATCATCCTCCATGCCCTGGATTGAAGTGTGTCCCCCACCCCCATCCAGGGAAAAACTGAATAATGTGGGTCTTACCCGTATCTTTGCTTATTTTAAGTGTTGAATAACTTCTCAATTCTGCTTCCTTTTGGACTTTCTCTAGTGACTTTGAACAAGTGATCTTTACATTTTGTCTAGAATATATAATTGTAGTTAGTAGGACAGTTAGTCTGAAAACAAGATATTTCACCATTATCAGAGCCACTTTATAACAAGATTTCATTCGTGTTAAAAATAAGAACTAAGAGATTCAAAACCATTAATTAAGATATCATTAGTTCAGAATTTGTGATGATTCAGGCAGAACTTTAGCCATAATTTCTTGAAGGAAATGAATATTATAAATAAGATCACAAGAATAGTTTCTAAACTACCCACAGGGATGAAATCCTATATCCTTCTGGACAGGACACCTCTGAGTCATGGAGTTTAGCAAAACATCCAGACAGGACTGGGTGACCTTAAGTTCTATGAGAGATGTCATGGATCAGTTGCTGATGGAACTCATTTAAGAGCAAACTAGTGGATCAGTGGGTGTCCTTTGTATGTGGGAAGAAGAGGCTGGAGTTTAATTGAGCCTCAGAACTTAGCTGTTTTAGGTTTCCACTGCCTCCTCTTTGGTCTAATAGGATGGCCAGTTTCTCACATGTGTCATCTAGTTCATGCTTAACTGCTCAAGTGGCAGCTGCAAGCAGAGTTTCTGATGATCTCCTGCTGAACATGACCCATTGGCCGTGGACAGTTGTCACTTAGGCAGAATTTGTACCCCTGATGAGAAGGCACAGCTAAATGCTGCTCTGATTATCCAGTTGAAGATCCTTTATTATACCCTAAACGACCATCTAATTTAGTTGTGACAGAAGAGGACCAAAAAATAGAATATCTTTGAAGGATCAAAATAATTCTGACCCATCAACTTACTCACAGACCCATGAATTTACTGACAAAATAAGGTCTTACTGGAAATGGATATACCAATATATTCACAGAGATTACTTCTTGGTATTTGGTCTATGGATGATTTTTATTCCCTTATTTGTACCTTCTGGACTTTCTGTATTCTCAAAAATAATAAAAATTACTTTTGGACTCAGATTTTTACAAAATGAGGGATATGGTAGCCTGGCTCTAAGTGTCCTACTTTCAGCCAAGACCCCAAGGCCTGCTTCAGAAAGCCATAAACCATCCCTCATGCCTAAGACCATCCAAAAATTCAAACAGACCCAGAATTGCAATTTTCCTCTGAAATCTGTCCAGCTACTCAGTTTCTTATAAATATCAAGAACCAAATATATATACACACACACACACACACACACACACACATACTATATATATATAGAGAGAGAGATACAGATATATATAGATATATAGATCTATAGATCTATATATCTATATATATCTCCAGAACCAGATATATAATTTTTCACTTAAACCAACACGTGGTAAACATCTAATAAACATCTGATGAATAAATGCATGAAAGAATAAATGAATGAATGAATAACCTACTTGGTCAGAAGTTTTTCAGCTGCAAATTTCTGAAAACTGAATATAAATGGGGCACTAGTAATTACTGTACCTGGAAGGATAAGGGTCAAGCTGTGCTTGGGTATATTTTTCCTTAGCTTAGCCACCCATGAACTGGCTTCAGATTCTCCGTTTCCTCTATAGGTATATGCCCCACAAATGTGATGTTAGATTCTTAGAGATTCTAATTCAATGTTAGAATTAGAATCTCTAAGAATGCTACATTCTTAGAGATTCTAATTCAAACTAAAAGAAGAACTTTGTTTCCCCTCCAATCTGGGGATTCCAGGTACATGCCCAATAGGACCACCGTGAGTCCTAACCCACCCTTGTAGTCAGCCCCTCCAGACACCACAGAACTGGGAAGAATCCCTCAGAGGAAGGGAGTGGGAGGCACAAATACCAGGAGAAGTAAGGAGGGGGACAGACTGGGCAGACAAAGCCAGCACATCCTCTAGAGAAGAATTATTAATAATGAAAATGGCAACAGTGATAGTAACTGTGATTTATCATAGGCAGGTATCCACCAGAGCCCTTCACACCATTTATCTCAAAACCATCCCATATCCCTGCAGGTGCTAAGGATCAGAGCCATTAAGTGACCCAGCCAAGAACAAAGTAAATGATGGACAACCAAGAGGCAAACACTTAATGGACTATAATGGAGAGAGTACAAATGCATTGAAGTGATTTAAACCTAGACCCGCCCACTGATAGCATGCCTGACTGTTTTTTGTTTTTTCAAAAAAGGGAAGAAAGTCATCCCTGAATAAAATTTAGGAGTATGTTGCTGACATACATTTTAATTTATAAATTTATGTTTTCATTGTGACTCTGGCAGGGAAATATTCTAGTTTTTCATATGACTTCATTCTTTTTAAGTTAAGGTGATTCATTAATCATATAACTGAACAACTTGATTTTTATGGTTTTAAAAAATATAAGTGTTTTTATTCAAGCAAATCCAGAAATTAAGAAAAATCACTAAACCAGGCATGTGCCCTCCTTTGGGGTTTGGGAGATGTTGATGATATATGACTTTCATTTTAAAAATATATGTTTGTACAAAGCCACTCATAGAAAGGTAGTGTACCCAGTGGCTCAGAGCATGGGGTCTGAGGCCAGATCTAGGTTGGAATCCAGAATCCTAATCCTGTTTTACCAGCTGTGTGAGCTTGGACAGATTATCTAACTGTTCAGTGTCTTGCTCTCTTCCTATGTGGAATGGAGATAAGAATGCAACCTCTGTTGTAGGGCTGCTGTGTGGATTACGATGCTTGCTTCCATCCATCAAAGATGTTGGAGCAATGCTTGGCTAAGAATGGTAAGAATTACCATCTATTTATTTATTTATTTTATTAGTGCCTTGATTGCATTTGTATAGGGGCTTTTTGTGGGCTCTTCATTATTGTTTTGCCCCTGGGTTTTTTGTTTGTTTGTTTTAGAGAGAGAGGGGACAGGTGTGAAGGGCAGAGGGTGAGGGAGAGAAGGAATCTTAAGTTGATTCCACGCCCAGTGCAGAGCCTCATGTGGGCTTGATCCCACCACCCTGAGATCATGACCTGAGCTAAAATCAACAGTCAGGTGCTCAACTGACTGAGCCACCCAGGTGCCTCTGGTTTTTATCACAGATCCACATCAAAGAGGAAATAAGGTTGCCCCCCTCATTAGAGAGGCTGCATTTATTCCTTGATTCACAGTGGTGTCAGGGAAATCATCTCATGGGTCTGGGCTGCTAAAGAAGTGAGTGTCCTTACAAACATTACCCACCTCACTCGATTGTATTCCACAGGGCTGAACTCTGCAGTCAAGACTGGTCATCAGAGAGAAGATGAAAATATGCCTTATGGTAAGGATACTGCCAGTCTCAAGAGTGAGGGAAAGGAAGAGGCGGAGTCTTCAGGCTAGAGCTTGTACTGCATCCGAGAAATGAGAAATGAGTTGGCAACTGGGGAATGAGGTCTCTTCCATCAAGAACTCCAGTTGCCAAAGTAAAATAAGGTAAGAGGAACCCTTACACTGACAATACGTTTCAAAGCTGGCAGATTGAATTTAAAGGACTTGCTTTAAGTTAATCATGTGAGAATATTGAAGTCTAAATCATGAAAACTGACTATTCAGTTGCAGTCGTGTTTGCGTGTCAGTTACTTATTGAGAAGATAAAGGCCAGTTCTTTCTTCAGCGTTGGCTGAAAGTCGGTTGAGATCAGAGACTCAGGAGGAAATGAATAGAAGTAATGAAGCAAGACATACTTCTTCCCACATGCCGGCAGCTTTCTCAGGTTGCCAGTTGTGAGTAATGTAAAGCATACGCAAGCAGGCAGTTAACTCTATCAAGATGAGCCTAGCCCCAGAGGCAGTGGTGGTGAAGTTGAAGCTCCCGCCAGTGAGCTGTTCTCTTGTTCCAACATGTATTTAGGTATCACGCTTACCCTTCCCCCGGTCATAATTTTAATGGGTTTTGATTTCCTCATGCTCCCAAAACCTTGAGGGGGAAATATGATCATCCTGAATGGACTACTTACTTTTACCTATAAACTTGTGCTTTATTGTCTTAAAAAAAATCATGAACAACAACAACAAAAAAGCCGGGAAGAGATAAATTTGCATTTTGAAAAAGAAAAAAAAAATGAACACATCTTTTGCTTTGAAATTTTTCCCCCTTGAGATGAATACCCATGCTTCATAAATATTCACTCAAGTCTGTTTTGACAATCAGCCTATATAAAGAAGATTCTAAAACACAACCTGGAAGTTTTAAATACATTCCTCCTCCTCCTCTTCTTCTTCTTCTTCTTCTTCTTCTTCTTCTTCTTCTTCTTCTTCTTCTTCTTCTTCTTCTCCTCCTCCTTCTCCTCCTCCTCCTCCTCCTCCTCCTCCTCCTCCTCCTCCTCCTTCTTCTCCTTCTTCTTCTTCTTCTTTTTTAAGATTTATTTATTTCTTAGAGAGAGAGAGAGAGAGCTTGAGCAGGAGGGGCAGAGGAAGAGAGAATCTTAAGCAGATTCCATGCTGAGCATGGAGCCCAATGCCAGACTCTATCTCTTGACCCTGAGCTGAAACCAATAGTCAGTGACTTAATCGACTGCACCACCCAGGTGCCCCCTGGAAGTTTTAAATATCTTCTATGAATGAAAAGGCTTCACTGTTCTCAGAGCACCCACAAATACACCTTTGAATTTTTTCACCTTTCTTTTTCTTTAACCTGGTCTGAGCCCTACCTCTTTCCCACTCCCAAGAAATAAGAGTTCATTCAACATTCCAAATGCTCATGGCAATGAACTGGGGATTTGGATGGAGGGCAAATGAAGGAAGGGAAAACTCTTCTGCTCGTGGAGTTCACATTCTAAGATTGCAAAAGCTTAGTTTCTGAAAGAAATCACTGCTCAAGATATTAGTCAAAAGAATTTTGGAAGATTCTTGGGAAGGGTGAGTATAACAGGGTTCTATGAAAATATTCCAATGATTAAATTTTAGGTTTAAAGAGCTATAAATATCAGGGTAGACCATGTACACATTTTTAAAAACTTATCATTGATTTTTTTTCCTCTATCCCATTTCTTCCAAACATGAATAATCTTGACTTAGGCTTCTGATGGGTTAAAAATATATTCTGACTAACATTAAGGCCTGAATTCCACCACAGTGCTCTTATATGAATAATGCCACCCCATCCCAAATTGAAGCATGGGAAATTTGCAATTCCCTCAGAGGATTGTAAATGAGCCTATTGTCAAGCTGCCAAAGTAAATTAACTGGATTTAAAATTTTCCATAATATCTATCAGAAATTCCAATGACTAGTAATTAAAGCAGTCCTTGCTCTCTTGTGACTCATGCAGTGTGACAAAACAGTCCTAATGTGTCACCTCTCTGCTTCTGCCTGTTTGATTATGTTGAGTTGGGCACCAGGTGGCTTATCCTCTAGGGTGTCTTACAGTCTATTAAATTCTAAATGCGAAATAGAAATAAAACTCAATAAATATTTTATGGTATGTGTGAGTATATATTCCTCGAAGCCATCCCGGACCCTTGAGTTTTATACAAACAGCATTTTCTATAATAAAATAGTTTGTTATCATTATAGAAAAAAATTTAAAATGCACATGAGGAAAGAACTACCCTCCATCCATTGCCCAGAGATAATCACTTCTAATACTATTTTTGTGTATTTAGGCCCTGAGATTTTGCTGTATATTCAGAAATAATTGTGATCATATGTCCTATAAATTACACAAGTGGATTTTAAATCATCTTTTTTAAAAGTGATATGGTAACATTACTGAGCATTCGGAAAATAGAGAAAAAGATATAAGTAACTAGAATCCCACCCAGCGATAACCACGATTAATATTTTACTTCTAATTATAATCTCTTTTCTTTTCATATTCCTATATATTTAAAGGTACACAATAGTGATTTTTTGGCATAATGAGCAGAAAAATAATTCAAATAATTTTGATGGATGATAAGATGCAGAGTGGCAAGTGAGGGATAATAAGTTTACTTATCTTTCATAGAAAAACTCAACAATTCAGATCGTTAAAAATGAATTTTAAAGAAATAAAAAATAAGTTTTCAGGTTACTTGGCTAAGAAACTGGTACCTACTCTTCTTTTTCCAGGAAACTGATTTTGTTTGTTGAAGACAGAGGAGACAAGACAATTCTGATTTGGGGGCTTCTCCCTGTCCAGTGTTTAGCCACTGTTAGCAAGAACTGGAACCTGACTTCCACAAGTAGTCTTCTAAATGTTTTAAATGGTCATCAACCACAGCAAGTGAAGGATTCCAGCTGAACTAAGGGTGAACAATGAGGCTCAGGAAGCACCTTTTCTGGAATTATGGAAAACACATAAACAAACCCAGAAGTAGAAGAGAAATATTTGAGAAGGTCTAACTCTATAAAGACTTGTTCTCAGGCTGGTGAATGCTTCTGACAACATGTATTCAATTGCATTTCTAAGACTGGAACTCAAACTACATTAAGTTAAGTCTCAAGAGCCCTTTTATATAGTCAGACTATTATGGAGTTTTGAAATTTTTGATTCATCTTGGAGTATTCTATTAAGCTTTTTTTTCCAAGAGAAGTACACGTGTAGACTTTTTTGGCATTTTTGTATTGGAGAATGTCTTTGTGGATGTTCCTGAGTCATAATCCTGTCCTTATAAACTCCATAGTCATTTCTCTAATGTGTTTTGCCAATTGGGGTTGCTGGGGAGACATCTTAAGTTAGCATTTTGGGGGTGTATTTGTAAACAATTGGTAATTTCTACTTGATCTCTTGTCCATATTTTTTCCTCCTTATTTTTCAATTTTGGTCATTAAACTCACATTTGGATTCTGATATTGAAAGTAAAAAACTGGCTTGCCTTTCATCCCAAAGCATTCATTAAGGAGTTGTAGACAAAAAGACTATATGTGCAATAAGATACTATGTTACGCATATATCTATATAAGACACGTGAGTTCTCATGTCCAGATAGGATAGTCTCACCAACCCTCAACTGAATAGCTTCAATAGGCTGTTTCAAAGAAAGGCATCACTTATGCTGGTGGCCTCTAGCTGTGGTGGGTTTTCGGGGCCATGGTGAGACTGAAGTTTAAGTTTAAGGATTAGTCTTTGTGACTGGATGTTTCCTCTATTTATTGATAGAATTCATGCCAAGATTGAGAGAAGTATTTTGCAGCAAAGTCCTGACTAATCAGAGTAGGAGAAACATGTGGCTTGGAATCTATTACTGTCCAAAATGAATTCTTGAACATCACAAGTAAAGCAGCAGCTGAGCATGTGGGGTGAACACTGGGGACCACAAACAACTTGGTCTAATTACATGGTGGTAACTGAGTTTTCTACTCAGGTCATAACACCATCACTTGATTGATTTAGCTTGTATCTCAGTAAACTCCCTGAATCTTGATATTGAAGTTATTTTATCAATTTTTTAAAAAAAAATTTTACTTGTGCCTTACTGCTTTTCATATAGTAGTTTTCTTCTCAGAAACACAAATACGATCCTTAAGAAATAACTTATTTTTAGGTTCTGAGTAAGTATTATCCTCTAATTTAAAAAAAAATCTCTTTCTCCCTTTCCTTTGCAATCTGGGAGAGCTCAAGTTGGTTTTCTGTATCACCAGCTCACTTTTCTGCTGTGTGCATTCTGCTTTTTACTGCCAGAAAGGCATCTTTCAGTTCTGTCTCAGGCAGCTAAACCAAAATACCATGGATCTGGTGGCTTATAAATAACAGAAATTTATTGCTCTTGGTTTTGGAGGTTGTAAGTCTGAGATCAGGTGCCAGCATGATCAGATGAGAGCCTCCTTCTGGGTCACGACTTCTTCCTGTGTCCTCACAGGGCAGAAGGAGCAAGGGAGCTCTATGAGATGTCCTATAAGGGCACTAACCCCATCCATAAGGGCCCCATCCTTATGACCTAAACACCCTCCAAAGGCCCCACCTCCTAACACCACCTTTGGAGGTTAGGATTTCAACCCAGGAATTTTGGGTGGACACGAACATTCAGACAATAGAAGTTCTATTGTACTTTTGTTTCCTTATAGGCCTTTATTATCTTAGCCAACTCCTTTTTCATTTACTTCTGATTTTCTTTTAATCTCAACTAGTTTTCTATAATTTTTTGCTCCTTTTTCACTGAGGGAGTATGTTTTTGCAACCTACTAAGGATACCAAAACAATTCAGAAGGTGTTTGCCTCATGTGTTATGTATTTTTAAAAATTCAATCTTACTCTGAATCTTGAGGACAGAAGCTCCATGCAGCTCTTAAATTCATAGCTGAGACAGCAGAACTCTAGATTCAATGTCTGTCCACAGACAGGGTGTGGATGCCCTGGGTGTGACTCCTGGCCATATGGATGCTGGTGGAACTGCCTCTTAGATCTACAGCTGGGGGGTCACATCCACATGTACATCTTCTAACCCAATTTCCAAGCTTTGGCATATTCATGTAGTTCCAGGGTGGCT